CAATAATTTTGAAAATAACAAATAAAAGATAAAAATGATGGGCCTCCTTCAGGGTATGTCTCTGCTGTCACAATAGACAACTTTGGCAGCACTGTGCAGATACAAGTCAATGAGCCTCAGCAAGCCAGTCACAGACCTGTGAAATTCAAGCAGATTTCTGCCTGTAAGTCCCAAGTTGAGCTCCCTATTCTCCTGCCAGGTTGAACTCTGCAAGGCTCTACTGCAGGTTCCAGCTGTCCTTCCCCTGAAGATAGTCCAGGTTCCGATGATATTGACTTTCTTATTCATAATAATTTTATCTCTGCTTGGATTTTTCCATAATTTCCAGTGAAGTTTAACAATTTCTTTATAAAGATAGGGGTAGATTTATTCCTGGGCACTACGTATTATTTGTTACTGGGTTTATTGTTTGCTTTTTTATCTTCAGTAACTTTTTGTTTTTTGGATTTCATTTTTTATTTATTTATTTTTGGTACTGGGGATCGAACTCAGGTCCTTGATCCTGCGAGGCAGGTGGCAGAACCACTGAGCTAAATCCCTGGCCATCTTCAATAACTTTTAATTAGCTTGGATATGATATATGGCAAACTCATTGAGCTGTTTTAACTTCTGTAGGTATCCCTAGATTTTTTTCTTAATTATGTCACCTATAGTAGTTTATTCTTCTGCAATACTTACTTCTATTGTTTTTTCTCAGTGTACTGGCTTTGATTTCTAGTATAACTTTAAAGGTGGATGTTTTCACTCAGCTTTAAAAGGGATCCCTTTAATGTTTCACATTTGCCTTTTTTCTTTTTAGTATTGTAGCAGATACTTTTTATTAGATTAAAGGGGTTTAGACATGTCACCCAGAATATACTGCTACAGCATACTGATTGTTTTGAGCTGATAGTACTTGAGAAATATCAGATGCAGAAAGGACCATCTCTGAACTTGCCCTTCCACCTAAAAACAGGTCAAACAGTTTCCAATGGGAGATGCCTCCCTGTATCGGGAAGAAAATAGCATTTTAATCACTGGACACTAGGAGTTGATGCTGAAATGAATCTGTACAAGCCAATCCATTAAAATAACCCTTATCTTCCATTAATGTCAACCACATATTTCCTAGTCATTTTTCCCCACTTTATCACCCCCAGAAACTTAAACCTCTTTTCTTTTCCTTTGTCTTGCTTCTTTTTTTTTTGTACTGGGGATTGAACCTGGGACCTTGCGCTTGCGAGGCAGGTGGCAGAACCACTGAGTTAAATTCCCGGGCCTGTCTTGCTTCTTCTCTAAAACTTTATTATTTTCTATATTTTAAAAAAATGGTATGCAAGCTTTTCTGGGTTTTTATTTTTCCTATAAAATGTCCTAGTCTCACATAAAAATATTAAATAAAAGTTATGTGTTTTCTCCTATTAAACTATATCAATTTAATTCTCAGACCCAGCCATGGAACTGAAGATACTAAAATGGGGTTTTTTTCCTTATATCTTCAAAGAAGTTTTCTTTAATTAATTTTGTCTAAGTTTTTAACATCTCATATGGGTAGTGTTTAGCCATTTAGTACATAAAGCAGGTATCTTAGCCTGTTTTCTGTTGCTATAACAGAGTACTCAAGACTAGGTAATTTATAAAGAAAAGTTTACTGGGGCTCATGGTTCTGGAGGCTAGGAAGTCCAACAGCATGGCCCTGGCATCTGCCTAGGTTTTGGCAAGGGCCTCATCCTGCATCAACTCCATGACAGAAAGCAGAAGGAAAGTAAACATATGTGGAAAAGAGAAAAATGAGCCAAATCTCCACTATAGCTAACCTAGTCCTATTAGAAAAAACCATCAATACATTCATGAGAGCTTTGCCCCATCACCCACAGACTTCCCTACTGGGCCACATCTTCCAACATTGCCAAGATTCAACCTCGGTTTTGGTGGGAACAAACTATATTCAGACCATAGCATCAGTTTATTCTTTAAGCTTGGTTGATTTTCTCTTATATTTGGAGATGCATCTTCTAGAAAGCCTTCCTCTATCTCTGCATTTGCCCCCTTTTTACCCTGAGCCCTGGTAAGCACCTTTCCAGGAAATCCATTTAGCTTGTCAGCTTTGATTGAGATTCTGTTTAGTTTTCAGAGATTATCTTGTTCACAGAAAGACCTTAAGAGTTTTAAAAACTACCTTCAATCATTTCACAGATGGTTTACAAGAAATAAAAGTCAATGTCAGATGCTCAGCTATGAAGTGTCAATTCAGTATTGCCAAGGATAAACTAAGATTCTTTGCAGAAAGTATGAACATGCCTCAACATTCCATTCGCTTTAAGCTCTAGCTAACTCTTTTGTCAATGAATGAGCTAGTTCTGCATAAGACAAAAAAGCCCTATTGCAAATGTACTCCAAGGTGTCTAAGTGGCTGAGACCACTAGAAAAGGATTTGAGTCTGCATCCTCACCCACGAAGGAAACTACTACCATTAAGAAACAGGCCTTTTGGTGTGTAACCAATTATTATGGCTTGTATTTAGATGTCCCCCCAAAGCCTCATGCAGTCATAAGTGAGGCTTTTCAGAGGTGGCTAGATCTAGAGTGTGTGGTACTGCTATTGATTCATGGTGCAATGCTAGGATTAAGGATGCTGGGATAAAGGGTGATTACTAAATCAGTCCACTGATTCATTTGGCACCTGCCCTAAGCCTGGTAGCCTAGATAGAAAATAAAGGGGGCAGAAAGAAGCTGCTATTGTCATTTCCTTGCTTGCTTTGCTACCTTCTGCCTGCCATGAACTGTCCCTCTGCAATGCCCCTCTGCCATGCTACCCTGCCTTCTAGCAAGCCAGCCACGGACTGAAACCCTACAAACTCCGAGCCAAAATAAACTTTGCCTCTTTTAAGTCTGGGGTGTTGAATATTTTGTCTCAGCAGCAAGAAAAGTAACTAAGAAACCAACTATTATGGGTAAACAAGGCATCAGTAAAAATTATTCCTAAACCTTATAAAAATGAATGATATTTCAGTGTTCTTTTCCAATATTTTTTCCCCCTGTGGGAAAACATACCGTGTTGAAAAGTTGGCTTTTCTTTTCTTTCATTCTCTTTGTGCCAAAGTTACTGGGGACACTTTATTCTTTAGTCTTCTTTTTTTTCTTCACACTTAAAGGGAAAAATTTCTTTATATTGCTTCCAAGCCTGGCTGAGTCAGTACTGTAACTGGGAAGAAAATGGCTAGATTCTGGGAGAAGTTTTATTTCCATGCAAGTGAAAATACATACATTGCTGGGAGGTTTCCTGACAGTCAAAAAGCAGTGTTTGACTATTTCTGACTGTGTGTTACATAACTTTCTGAAAATGTCAGAACATCTTACGTAGGCTGCATGAACAACTATCACCCTCAGTGTAACCAATTCAACTCTAAAATCTGAGAGCCTTTGAAGGTATTTTAAAGACCATGTGTGGCTTGATAGTTAATCAAGCATCCCAAAATATATATCTAAATTTTATCTGTTTTTGATCTTAAAAAGCTATACACCTATCTTGTACCCTGTAAATTATACAGGTATCTTCCCTTGCCCTCCAGGTTGCTGGGTGTACATGTGTTCAGAAGGGGATCACTGGTCTAAGAGGCCTAAGGAACGACTCACTTGGCAGTGAGGTAGACACAGTTTTCTCCCTTATTTTTACTAAAAGGAAGTAACTAATGACTCAAACGTCATTTATGGAAGAAGCAATTCTCAATGGGCATCTCCCTTGGGGTTATTTTCTTCACAAATCAGTAATTTTATGTATGCCTTTCATTTGATGAATAAAAAGTGATATTTGCATTTTATCACTGATATTTTTATTAGTATTAGAAACAAATTATTTTTTTAGAGACAAATTATTAGTAGTCTGATTTAAATGAAAAGTGTGCTGCAGAATTTTCCTTCTAACAAAACCACAGAGATTTACGGGTACATTTCAAATTTCAGTTACGTCAAATATGTGACTTCTATTTTCTGAGGCAGATAGAAGAGCTCAGGGATCCCTTAAAAGTCACATTATAAACACAATCACATGTTCAACCTCTTGCCTTAACTTAGCTTCTTTCCAGAAACATCCAAGCACCTACCATTTATCTCATTTTTTATGTAGCTGTTAGAAAAATTGCTTGGTGCATAAATCTTCTGAGAACTGCAAAGTTGGGTCACACTTGTGGTCCATTAGGTTAGGTCCACTTTCTTGCATTTTCTAGGTCAACAGCTGCTGAATACAGTGGTGAAACTGTCTTTAGTTACACCACATAAATTCCCTATAAGATAGTCTCTTTGTTGCATTTAGGGAAGTACTCCAAAACTTTACATCACACACAATGGGCTAGAAACAGATTAAGCAGCAGGATGTGAACTTAGTATTCTTGTTTTTGAAGTAGAGTAGAACAAAACCTTCCTAATGCTGCTGTTTCTTGCTCATCTTCTATCTTGTCTCCTACCCCCTCTCAACCAATTCCATACTGTACTTTCTTAGCACTGGAGTGATAGCAGGCATGTAATAATGCTCATTGTGAAATACAGCATTACCTAATGCATTACCTATTAAGTATCTTTTTTAATTTTGTTGGGAAATTTCTAAGGTAAAGTGAAACTAATGATAACGACTATCACTACAACTACAAAAACTTTCAATTTTGAGAAAATAAAAGAAGGAATGGGTGGCCTAGCTTCGTCCCCCATACTGCGCAACTTCGCTTCTCTTGAATCTTTTGTTAACCGCTACCAGGTGCCCAGATGTCCGCTCAGCTGCCTGGGTTAACCAGCAGGATTCGCGCCAGCCAAGTATCTACCGGCAGGTAAGCAAAGACCCTCCCACCGCCCCGTGCCTAAAACAAAGCTGGAGGAGCCCGGCCAGAGGCCACGCCTCCACAGGGGCGGTATTTCCCTCTAGGCCCTCCCTAAAATGAGGAGTAAAGGGCGGGCATGGTGTGACGTCACGAAGCATTCCCCACCCCCACCCCCACCCCGGTTGGAGGCCTATAGAAGAAACCTGAAGGGCGGGAATGAGGCGGGGTCTAGTTTCCTTGGTGACCGGTTCCCTGCGGTCGCCTGGTAACGGGTCGCTGCGGAGGCGCTAGTGGCTGCAGCTCAGGCGGCATAGGCCGCGGAGGTCTCAGGGCCCGGACACTCACAGCCTGGCTCTTTCTGTCTGTGCTGCAATGGCTGCCGCCACAGCCGTGGTCACGCCGTCGGGTTTGGAGGATGGGGTGACTCGGTCTCATGGCGAAGGGGCCGGGGAGGCGGTGGTGGAGCGCGGGCCCGGCGCGGCCTACCACATGTTCGTGGTGATGGAGGACTTGGTGGAGAAGCTGAAGCTGCTCCGCTACGAGGAGGGACTCCTCCGGAAGAGCAACCTGAAGCCCCCGTCCAGGTGGGTGCCCACGTCTCCCAGCGCCCTGTGCTGGCTGGGCCCTGGGGAGATGCCTTCCTCGGTCTCGCTGGAAACACTGAGCGCGGATTAGTAAATCCTGGTCTCCATCTTCCCTGGCTGGGAAGGCAGGCACTTCGCTAGAAACTTGGCGCGGAGTGCAGGGGAGCGCATGGAGTGCGTGGCGCTCCGATTGGGTCTTTTAGGAGAGAAAGTAAACAAGGCTTGGAACGGCAGGGCAGAGAGGAATGGAAAACAGCCTGCCTACTCTTTAAAACACACAAAACACAATGTTACAAAAGTAATAAAAATACCCACTGCAGAAAAACAGGAAACTAGAAAAATACCAACATGCCCCATACTCTGATCGCTAGGGCTGAATGCCCTTATCATTTAGATGCGTTTCTAAGGCCCCCTCCCCAACCCCCGCCTTTGCTGGACCTTGTCCTCACCATGGCCACCTGGGACCTTAATGAGGCGCGCTTTGTATGCAGTTGGTAAACTTGAGCACTAGTTGCTGTGGTTTAAAAGACATCTGCCTTTGCAGTAACAGTACTCTCAGAAATAGAGAAGTAGAGAAAACAAATGAAATGATAAATGTTGGAATTAGCTTATTATAGAACTAAGTGTCTGCACTTTGCCGGTGGGGGGGAAGCTAACTATATTGTAAAGCGCCTCGGTTGCTTAGTGCGTTACTGTAGTTGCTGAGATAATGGACAGCTGGCTATTTTTCTTCAAATCACTGTAGTTTAGTGATAGCCAGATCAGTAAGTTTTATTGCTTCCTGTAGGTATTAAAGTTTCCTTCACTTTAATACCTACATTTGTTTAATTTATTCTGTCAGAGAAAATATTAAGAATCTAGAATACTGTCTTTTAATATTTACAGGTGGGTTCAAATCATTTTCCTTGGCAGTTTTGATCTCATTCCTTTGCTCTCTTTCAGTAATTTGAATTGAATGATATGTAGGCTTTCTGTGAACTGTACATGTCACTAAGTTAGTCCATAATAGAAGAGTTACAAGAAAAAGTAGTTCAGCTTGATCGATGATAGCAAAGGTAGGATGGGGATTATTGCTTAAAATGAATTGATCATAATAATATAGACAAGCCCATTTTCTGTGTTAATAAAAATATATTATTTTTTCCAAACATATAGCTTCTAGGTTATAATTAAGATCATCTCTGTACTGTTTCCTCATGGGTTAGAGCAGGATACTTTGAGTCATGGGTTTGTATGGAGATACCCTACCTAGACCAGTGGTTCTCTTCAGTGTGAGCATCAGTTTCAGCCTCACTTGGGAATTTAGAATGAAATTCCTCGGGCCTTTTCCCAGGGTGTACCTTTTCAGAAATTCTAGGGGTGGGGCCAGCAGTCTGTGTTTTATCAAGCCTTCTGTGATTTGGAGGCACAGTAATGTTTGAGAACTACTGTCCTAGGTCTACAGTATCAGCATCGATTCCTCTGTCCTTGACTTATCAGTTAATAAGGGAAAAAATGAGTTGGTGTTGAGTGGGTGCTTTGAAAGGGTTGTAAGCATCTACCTGGAGAGGGACTTCATGACCTTTTTTCTTTCCAGCTTTTTTTTGTCTTCTAGAATATTTACACTTATCCTAAAGGAAAAAGTTTGAATCAGTAGACCACTGATTCATAGGATAGTGGTTTACTAGCTGTATGTTTTATAAACATATAACTACATGAAGAAAGCAAAATAAGATCTTTGACCAAACTGACTTGAATGTTGTTGCTAACAAGTTTTATTTCTATCATGTTTTGTTATAAAACACACTGATACTCCAGCTATCTCCAGTAGAGAAGGGGACTTAGCAGAATCAACAATTATTCATCAGACTGGGAATGTGAAAGAGTTCCTAATCCTGACTGCACCCTAGAACTATGTAGAAAATTTTTGGAATCCACCTATACTGGGGTTCCACTACCAGAAGCTATGATCCATTGATGTAAGAAGTAGCCAGTATATTGTCCAGGTAGCAATATTTTTGGACGCTATCAGTTATTTTGAATATGCAACCAAGATGAAAGCAACTGTTTAACGTAGCCGATAGGGATAGGTTAGAAACAGTAAAACTGAATACTGAATAGTCTTCAAGGTCTTTTTTAAACTGAGAGTCCCAAAATTCCAAATTATTATTTTCATTATTATTATTTCCAAATTCTTAATTAAGTGATTTTGGAAAAGTTTCACATGCTTTGTCTTCTAACATGCACTACATTTCCTGGATATCAGGCCTTTGATTTAATATTTTGTGTATAATAGTAATTGTCCTACTCCTGTTGATTCAAAACTTTAGTGTGAGTGCTATACATTACTGGACACTTCAGAGTGAATTATCAATGTCTTTTGATTTGAAGGCCATGGTCTGGGAAGGATTCTTTAGCAATTTTGGACTTGGCTCCAGTAGTTATTAGAGAATTATTTGCATTATTTCACATTCCCCATCCTCTTTTGTTTTGAAACAGACACTATTTTGCTCTCCCTACCAACCCTGGTGAACAGTTCTACATGTTTTGCACTCTTGCTGCTTGGCTGATTAACAAAGCAGGACGTCCCTTTGAGCAGCCTCAAGAGTATGATGATCCTAATGCAACGATATCGAACATATTATCTGAACTTAGATCATTTGTAAGTGCAAACACTCTTCTTTCTGCAAGTTATGAATTTTAATATTGGTAATTCAATAACAAATGTTAGCCTTTTAGATGACTCCTCTGGGTGCGTGTGTGTGTGTACTTGTGTGTACAATTCTCTAAATTTTTTTTTCTGGTAAAACTTCAGAGTGGTTAATATTATAGCATTAATGCCATTTCTGAAATACCTTTTATAAGCCAAAGTAATAATATTTTTCTTAATCTTGGTAAGTCTCAGAGGTAAATTTATGAGTGGTTAGTTCTTTCTCTAAAAGAATGATAAAAGACTGATGTTGATACAGTTTTCATTTTGAAAGAGAACTTTTGACTTAATAGACCATGATAGCAGTTGTACTTTTCATTTCTGACTTTTCCTAGAGAAAAGAAATAAGACACTTTTAGCACAAATGTTACTAATTTTTGACAAGTGAATCACTCAGTTCCTCATATAGTTGTTTAAATGATACAAGGGGTGATCAAATGGTGAACATTTAAATTTTAAAAATCTATTATAATTAAAGGCACATTGCTATGAATCCCCTCAAAATATTCCCCCTTGCTTCAGACACACTATCCAATTGTTCTTGCCACATTGTGACGTAGTTTTCAGAGTCCTTTGATGTCTTTCCAAAGTGTGATCAAAAATACAGTGAACACTGTTGCTAAAAGCCATTGGCAGTCTTGTAAAAACATTATTTGTGAATCCTTATCCACCTTATTCATTGAATCTGGCACCCTGCGACTTCTAGATCTTCCCAAATGACCATGAAAGGTAAACATTTTGAATCACTTCGTTATAGCAAGGTAGCCACACCAATGCAACTAAAGATACTCATGAAAGAGGACTTCAAAAACTGGTTGGGATAAGTGTATTTGAAGCGAGGGGCAGGAGTTCAAGGGGGATTGATGGCAATTGTCTTTTACTATAATACATTTTTTTGAAGTAAGCATTCGCTGTATTTTTCATCACACTTCATATGTTACTAAGCTAGTAGTTTTTACAGATTTTTTTTCACCCAACATCTGGTACTATGATATAATTAGCTTTTAATTTGGTATTTTTAACAATAAAATGTCTTTATTCTTGTTTTTTAATGTATCAATGGATTAAAAAGACTTAGATGAATTTCTAAGAATGTAATTACAGTTATTTTAAATTATTTGAAAAAGACATATTCATCAGCTCTTTGCTTAAAATATTTTGACATTTAGAGGACAACTAACAATATCTTGTTTATCTTTTATTTTTCAGGGGAGAACTGCAGATTTTCCCCCTTCAAAATTAAAGTCAGGTTATGGAGAGCATGTATGCTATGTTCTTGATTGTTTAGCTGAAGAAGCATTAAAATGTATTGGTTTCACCTGGAAAAGGTAACCATTACCTACCCTGGCAATAGTGACTCTATTTGCATAGCATTTTTCTTGAAGGTGCAGAGCTGTTCAATTGAACTGATAAGAATTGGCTGTTCTAAAATGAAAATGCCACAGGTGATTAAGAAAAGTCAGTAGAGACAAAATTGGAATGTCTGTCTTCAAAACTAGTTGTGAAATAATGTTAGATATTACTTTGCTCCTTCTCTGTTCAAAATCATAGCTATTAAAGGTTTAACTGAGACTGTATCATTGTCAATTTAGGAAAATTTTTTTAAAAGTCTCTTTGTGCATATATTTATATACACAAGCATGGTACATGGATGGGGGTAACTGATAGTTACAGATTTAAGAAAATTAATACAGTACTTTAAAGAGATCCTTTGTGACTAGGCATAATACTAAAGAAGCCAGGTGACATTGTTCATGAATTCTTTCTCTAACATGAAAGTACTTTATTTATGATTATACTGCATTTGTCCTATGGAATTAAAAAACTTTATTTATAAGTCTGGTTTTCTTGCTAGAAATCCTGAAGTTTTCCTTTATACTCTGTGATAGTTTGCATACCACATGGTGCATTACACATCTTCCAAATTCAATAAATTTTGAGCATATAGATGGAACAAGTAAAATCATAAAGTGCCTATTTATTCAAATTATAATTAGAAAATGTACAAATTTCATCATTTGAAGATTAGTATTGTTGATGGGTTAGAATATGGGAGACACTGTGCTAATAAGATGGGCAAGCAGCAATTTTGGGGTTAGAAATAAGTTTTGTAGAAAGAGATGGATAATATTACCTGATGATACTTTCATATCTACTCAGCTATACTCTCTCATCCACTTCTTCTTAGTAAGTACTTGTAAAAACTTCTTTGATTTAGGTTATCATTGGGTTGAACTGTAGGAAAATGTTGGTACTCATCTATTTTTAAACTAGAACATGGCAACTTCATTTGTTGAAAACAAACATTTCCACTTAGAGCAATGTAAGAATGACTACATGATCCATAACACTTCTTTATTAGATTTCAAGAAAAGGTAAGTTATGAGATGTACTGCTCTGTTTACCATTTTGGGGAAATAACTAAATCTATATAGCCTAATATATTCTAACTTCACCAGAAGCTATTCATATTTCAACCATTCTTCAAGTTTGCACTTCCTTTGTTTCTAAGCACATCTTATTCCTGATCTATGGATTGTGACTTGGATAATGTACAGGAACTATGTACATGGGGAAGAATAAAGGAGGAAAGTCGAAAAGAATATATTAGCTATATAATTAGAGACTATATCAGCTATGTAATTACATAGAATTACATTTTATCTACTTATAGATGATAATTTTTATATCTAAATGTACCAAACATCCTAGAACATTACTTTTGAGGTATTATATAATTTTAATTAATGAAAATTTTAAAAATTTATCTTTTAAGAAGATTGATCTGGTTCACAGGGCTTTTCTTAATAGTGTGTTAATTTTGGGTAACACTTTAAGGTATGGATTTGAAAAATAAACCCAAATACATGTGGGTGTTTTTAGATGAGAAATATATGGCATTGATCTTTATGGAGAAATGATTATTCAGAATTAATGTTGGACCACTAATAGGTTTTGGAAATAAGAATAAAACTCATTTTGTATATAAAAATAAACTTCAGACTGATCAAAAATGTAAATGTGAAAATTAAAACTATAGAAATATGTTAGTAATAGGTTAGAAATTTGTTAGGACCAGGTGGGTATAGGGAATGTGGTATGAAGAAAAGCTGTATAATATGTATAATGTTAAATCTAGGTTCTGTGCAAGAAAAAGATGCCAAGTCTATCTAATAAACACTGTAATAGGGGCCAAGGATTTAGCTCAGTTGTGCCGCTGCCTGCCTCACAAGCACAAGGTCCTGAGTTCCATCCCTGGTACCAAAAAGAAAGAAAAATTAAAAATATTTGTTTGGGCTGGGGATTTAGTTCAGTAGTTCCACCACCTGCCTTGCAAGCTCAAGGACCTGAGTTAGATCCCCGGTACCAAAACAAAAAAGAAAACTGTAATAGTCTTGATTGCCAGGATTATAAGTACTACACTAGGGAAGATATTTTCAACACAGGTCAAGCAAACTATTAATTTTCTTAATTTATGAAAAGCCTAAGAAGAATGTATGGAAATGGAGGCATTGTTTTCATTATTGTTGGGAATGTAAATTAAAGAAATATTTTGGAAGCTAATTTTGACAGTATGTAGCTAAACAGTAACATGTGCAAAGTTGTTGGTCTAGCCATTCCATTTGTACAAATGTATTCTAAATGATATACATAAAGATAAAGGTACAAAGATGATTCTTGCAATATTGTTTAGGAAAAATCTAGAAACAACCTCAATGTTTAGCATAGACTGCCACTTTAATTGTGGCACTGCTGTTGAATGGAATATAGTACAGGTGTGTAAAAACATAGGACAGATGTGTATTTAAATGTGGTATATCCGTAAGTGAGGAATGTAGGTTGGATGACAGTGTGGTAGTGTGTCATTTTGGTAAATGTATTCTTTAAACTTGGAGATAAACATTTTTATTCTTTTACACAGCAAGTTTCAGAAGAATACACAAAACATTTAACAGAGATTATAGGACAGCAAAAAGACCAGATCTTCTTTTTTCTTTTTTTTTTTTGCGGTACTGGGGATCAAACTCAGGACTTTGTGCTTGCCAAGCAGGCATGGGACCACTGAGCTACATCCCCAGTAAGACTAGATCTTATTATTTCCATTGTACTTTTGTCTCACTGAATTCTTTAAGCTCTCATATTAAGTCTAATTATTTTAGGCCATCATACCCAGTGGAAGAAGTAGAAGAAGAAATTGTTCCAGAAGATGATGCAGAACTAACATTAAATAAAGTGGATGAAGAATTCATGGTATGTGTGTTACTGAACTTTCTGTTCATTTTCACCTTTGAGTTCCTTCCCTCAGTTCCCTCATACTTTCATTTTCTGGAATGCACTATATTTAATTGTTTCTAGAGGGGAAAAGCTTTTAAATACCATGCCAAGTATCAGTGGTTTACAGCTTCAATTAAGTTCATGTTCATGTCCTCTAAGGAATTTTAGCAGATGTTGTTAAACTGTGAAATGATGTATATATCACTAATTACATAAGTAAATATTTTATTAACCACTCATGATTTTGAATAGACTAACAAAGAATTTAAAACAGAAGAATAGAATTTAGGATTAATACATTCTGCCTCAGAAGATTACCATTCATTTCTAAGGAATTCCTTTATGCTTCTCAAATTACGTACAGAAACTTTTAAAATGCTTTTAAATATCCAGCAGTATTTAAGTTGTTTAGCAGCATCTGCACCTTCTTCCATGTTTAACATTTCATCTATGAAGCTAAATAATCGACTCCCTACCACAGATTCAGCTAGTTAAGATGATAGAGATTTTTTTTCTCAAGATAATTTTTTCTCAGAACTAGAAATAGATTTATAATTCTTTCTCAGAACTAGAAATAGATTGACCATAATGTTGTAGAAAGTATACATGTATACAGAAATAGTGGAAAAAACTTTGGTATTTTGCTTTCATCAACCAATTAAAGTTTTTAAATGACTTTTTAAAATCAAAAGGCTGTGGACCAGGGATTTAGCTCAGTGGTTTCCCTGCCTGCTGCGCAAGCACATGGACCTGGGTTCAATCCCCAGTACCAATAAACAAATAAATAAATAAAATCAATAGGCTGTAAATATATTCTGTATTTCAGCTTAAATAAGTTAGTATATACCACAAAAGTGTTAATCACTGAATTCTAATATCAAATGATAAAAAATAATGATTAAATTAATTATACTGTATCCAAACAGAATATTATATTGCCATTAAAAGTTGTTTACAAAGACACATTAGTGACATGAGTTATAACTAATACTATATGTTATAAAATTGACTGAGAAAAAGATTATAAATTTTATATCATGATCTGAATAATATAAAATATGTAAAAGAATTCAATATGTTAATATTAGTTATAAATGGGTAAAAATGTGGGTGATTCTTTTCAGCAGTTTTTTATATTTTCAAAATTTTAACATGTATATATGTATTTATTTTTAGTTTTACTTTATTGTGTGTGAGATGGGGACCGAACCCAGGGTGTCAGGTTTGCTAGGCAAGTTCTCTACCACTGAGCTATATCCCCTGCCCTTTTAACATGTATTTTATCAACAATACAAATAAACATTTTTAACTGTATAAAAAGATGACTCTGCTACTTACAGAAGGAAAGAAACCATTGTAGAATTAGTCCATTTAAAAATATATTTTAAAGCAATAAACTTAAAAGTCAAGGGAAAATATACCTGTTCATTGTGTATTTCTGGAGCATGGTTACGTAGCCAGCAGTGAGTAAGGCCATGGTGGTACAGCAAGTGCAAGAGCTCTAAGGCCGGAAGGAGCTTGGCACAATCAAGGGACTGAGAGGGAAGGTGTCTTAAGAATACCTGAGAAGATGGACCAAGTCCAAAATATTTTGGACATTTTAAGAAGTTTAGACTTTATTTTCTGTACAGTAAATTTTTCCGTTCAAGCTCAGAAATTAAGTCCGCACATATTCCCAATTTTTCACCTGATTTAATCTACACTGATATTTCATCTTGCCTTCTTAATAACTACTTTATAGTTATTAAGTTTATCAACAAATACCTGATCCCAACTTCAAAGACATGTAACTCAAAAGTACTAATTGAGAGAGAAAAAAACCTCCCCACTCTCTGGGAGCAGAAAGCATTTCTAGTTTAGCTCATTATTACATCTCCAGCTTATTGTGCAGGGCCTAGTGCATAGAAGGCAGCCTCTTTACACATGTTTTTTCCCAACCATGAACTAAAGACCTACTATCCTAAGAACACAATAAAGGCCTATCTTGGAGGGGTTGTCTCTTAAGTTACATTTTCTTGTATCATGTCTCTTGATTTTTTTTCTTTCCTTTCTTCCTTATCATATTATTCTATGAAGTCATCTTTTATGTGTCTCATCCTTTTTGTGAAGGAGAGCTGCCTCAGTGCTGAAAAGCATTTTAAGTGTGGCATGTTAATTCTGTTGCCAGAGTTTGCTAGGTGGCCGAAAGGTGATGAGAATCATTTCTGACAGTCAAAGTTCTGCTGTAATCATTTAGAAACTAGGAACTTTCATTTTTGTACTGACCAGAATAAGATAGGACACGCTGATTTTTTTTTTTTTAAGTATTGGTCATGTCACAGAATATTTGGACTTGCTATAAGTAATCATATTCATAGTAATTGGTAGTAAGAGAATTTAAAAGGTGCAAATTAGAAATTTGAAGAAATGGTAGGAAACTGTTATATCTTCTGAATTACTGAGATGAGAATCTTAATTTATTTTAAAACTTTTTTCTAAGCCAGGTTATAGTCGAATTCCTTTTGAATGACCTCTTAATAATATTCAGTAACTTAAATGTTTTTTGTATGTATTAGCCTGGGTTCTCCAGAGAACAGAACCAATACACACAAACCCACACACACACACACACCCCCGCATGCACATCTTTATAGAGAGATAATTATTATAAAGAATTGGCTCCTGTGGTTATGGAGGGTTAGTAATCCCAAGATCTACATTTGGCAAAGTATTGACCCAAGAGATCTGGTAATATAGTTCTAATTAGAATCTGAAGGCCTTAGAAATAGGAGAGTCAAGTTGATGATGTCAGTTTCAGTTTGAATCTGAAGGCAAGGGAAGACTTATGTCCTAGTTCAAAGATAAGCAGAGATGTAAATTATCTCTTAGCCTTTTTGTTCTAATCTATACCTTTAATAGATTGAATGAGGCCTACCCACATTCAGAAGGGCAGTCTACCTTAGTCAGCCTACTGACTCAAATATCTCATCTGAAAGTACCCTCACAGGCACAACCTGAATAATATTTATCCACATATCTAGGTATTCCATGCCCAAATCAACACAAAATTAATGATCACATGTCCACCCCTTGCAATTTGGCATCCATACACATCTTCTTAAATCATACTTAATCTCCTAATAAAGACAATAATAAAGTCATAATTCTTCCAAATTAGATACAGTTATCCTTCATACAAAAGATAATGTACTATCCTCTTCCCCAGAAGAGGCCACCTTGAGTGATAGATATTCTTGACATTTTATAACTTAAATACTATGATGTAAAACTAACATTCTTACATATTATGACGTAAAGTTAGTACATCTTATGTGATAAAGCCCTGAAGGAGGGAAGAAAACTAAAATATTTACATACAAATATAATTCATAACAAAATAAGGAGGAAATGGTCATGACAAAGCAACTTTATAACTACCTTGTTTCACTCTCCATTCTATGTTGTCTTTCCCTTAGCAAGAACTAGAGCTGATTGTGGTTCTCCTCACTGGGGTGACCCAAACCTTCATTCCTGAAGGGTCTGGAGCTGAACTATCCTGTGTAGACTGAGTTGTTCTAGTTTCCCATTGACCTAATCACAGGCAGTAGTATACCAAGAAATCTGGAACAATTCTCCAAGTGGAAGTGTTTACCAACTAACACTCATTTGTTGGTTGGTTGGTTTTTTCCAAGATCATATGGCTGGAACTACTCAGACTCCGTATTTACTGTATATTAGGTAGATGGTTGCCTCACATTTATTATCCAACTCCCCACCCTGCATCCATTTGGTTTATAGGTCAGGACCAGTGTGGAATCCATCTGAACTATGCTTTTAAATAGACTTAAGGGCCAAAGGGCCAAAGCCTAAGCAGTATTGGTAACCATTATTTACCTCATCAAGTTTGAGCATAAAAGACTTGTAAAAAGTATGCATCATTGTGATTGATCCCTGGAGCAAATGAGGCTCTTTTGTGTCTGGTGGTCTTTCATTCTTATCCATTTCAGTCATGTTGCACAAAAATTCTATAAATGATTTCCACTGTCTCAGAAGTACCACTTGGAGTTGTTTTCTCCTATTTTTATCTTTATCCATAGTTGAGCATCATGGCTCCTTTCCTTCACCTCCCTTTTTCTTTCTTCAGTGACTGAAAAAAAAACAAAAAAAACCTGTTAAATAGCACCATCAAAACTTCAAAGAACGTATAAGCTGTTAAGCATGTGTTTATTAGGATTTTAAATACACTTTGCTGAACCAGCCTTTATATCAAGCTTAGTACAGCTTAGTATAGTATGTGAAAGCTAGAAATAATTCTTTATAATATTTTTATAATTTTAACTTTTTAAAATTTTCCTAAGGAAGAAGAGACGGATAATGAAGAAAACTTTATTGATCTGAACATTTTAAAGGCCCAGACCTATCGCTTGGTAAGTTTTATTGGCTATACATAAGACCAACAAACAATCAATGTAGCCTACTGGAAATCTAAAAGAATAGAAACCATTGTTAGACACTATTTTATGTATTATTTGAAAAATAGCTTTGAAAATTGTTTTCCTGTGTATAAAATGTTACAATTACAGCAATAATAAAAAATCCAGAGGGGTGAGAAGCAGCCTCCTATCTATACCATTAAAATCAACACAGTGCGGGCTGGAGATTTAGCTCAGTGGTTCCGGCGCCTGCCTCGTAAGCACAAGGTCCTGAGTTCGATCCCCAGTACCAAAAAAAAAAATCAACACAGTGCTTCTCATGCAAACTGGAAATAATTAATTTGATTGCATTTTTTACTATAGAAAAACAAATTATTTTATTTCAAGTTATTTTCTATTAAAATAGGCCAGGATTGAATGATCTTGATTATAGAACAATACTTAAATTGTAATTCTTTGAAATAAAATGAATTGTACTAAGACTGGTGTATAGATGTGTAGTAAGACATTGTTTTAATACATTTTTTACTGTGTTTAAAATGTATGAAATCAGTCTATAAAAGTACACTCCCGATGAGATATTTCAAGTGTACATATTGAATTTTTGCATTTTCTATATGTGTATATTTCAATAAAGTATATACCCATGTACCCTCAAAAATACATATGTAATGTATTATTTGTCCTTTACTTAATTTTTTTTGTCAGAATCCTCAAGTTTGAATCTCGTTTTGATTTTCTGTCATGAAGACTTCCTTGACCACCCTACCCCAAGCTCATCATTTTATTGATTGTTTATTGCCTTAGTATCAGTAATTTTCATTATTTGTGTGTGTGTGTGTGTGTGTGTGTGTTTCTGTCTGCCTGTCTGTCTGTCCATTGGCCAGCTTGAGATGTACCATAACATTGTGGCTAACTTGCCCAGTGTATGACTAGAATTCTAATCTTGGGCAAATATGTGAATTTCTTTGCCTCACCCTCTTCATCTGTGCAAATGAAAATGTCACCCTTTTCATAAGATTTTTAAAGATCAAAAGAGTTACTGCATATAAAGCATTAGAGCAATATCTGTCGCATACAAAGTGTTCAATATATGTTAGCAAAAACTAATACCACACCTTTCCTGTGATTCCCTGTCAAATCTGACTAAGCTCCTTCATAATGAAGATAACTATCTCTTTTTATGTTCCTTATAATGTAAAATACAAGGTATTGAATAAATACTTCTTAAATGAATGAAGGTATTTTAATTGATTAATAGAAAATTATATCAGAATAATGTTAACATTTGAATCAAACAAGTAAACTGCAATTGTAACTATCTTATATTTGCAAATAATTTTGTAGTTTTAAAATTATTTTAAAATACTTCCTTCTACTGACTTTGTGAGGTAATTGGGTAGATATTGTTATCTCCTCTTTACGAATATAACCATGAGACAGTTTAATCCTTCCTTCCTTCCTTCCTGCCTCTCTCTTCTTTCTTCCCCCCTTTCTTTCTTTCTTCTTTCTTTCTATTCTTTCTTCCTCCCTCTCTCTCTTTCTTTCTTTTCTTTTATTCCTTTCTTCCTTTCTTCTCAGGGTATGGCTATGTAGTGCAGACTGGCCTTGAACTCAATATGTAGCCCATGCTGGCCTCGAACTCACAGTAATCCTCCTGCCTCAGGCTCACCAGTGCTAGGATTACAGGCATGGGCCACCACATCCAGAAGTTTAATCTTTTAAAAAGCTAATATATTATAGTACATAAATTTGAAATGTTTTTCTAAACTTCAAGTCTACTGTTTTTTTCTTTACCTCAACAGGAGTTCAACAAGGTAGATATGGTTTGATTCCTACCTTGAGCGAGTACGACATAGTGTTGGTACTTATATAATATATATGTTAAAGTCTGAGAACAAGAGCAAGTAGAGATGTAGCCACAGTTATTCTCAGAAAGAAACTGTCATTTTGTTATTAAACATTCTGTTGACAATGTAGAAGTTTATGAAGCCTTTGGAGTCCCCCAGAAAAAACAGTTTAAGTATTGGAAAGGATCAAAGTAATTTAATGTGTCATTACCATTTCTCCCTGTTTCTGTTGGTCCTAATTTTAATTTATCATCTCAAACTATTTGAGAAAGGGTTTTCTTCCTACCCTACGTCTGCCTTTTATCTTAAGTATTAGATCTTCTGGATAAAGCTTATAGAGTATACTGGTATACCCTTTATTGTTAAAACTTTGGTTACATTTTCACAAGAGGAAGAAATCTGAACACCAGGTGTTTGTGGATGGTTGACCATGAAGTACTAATGAAACAGAAAACCTTTTCATATTTTAAAAAATCTGGCAGGCTTATAGTATTGCCCACGAAAGCCTTTTGCCTGAGACAGCTGTGTCTAACTCCACCTTATGATGGCTTGTGGTACTCTTTCCTCAAGACAGAATTGTTATATAGGTTAGTAACATAGACTTAAGATCGAGATTCCATATAGCAGGTGGACTTGCAGATCAGAAGAAATAGCACTTTAGTAAAGTTAAACATGATGAAAATTTTCACTAGTAAGAGAATGATACTTGCTGTCCAGGAAACTGATATACTTGTGTATGTGACTATGTAGTCCCAGCAATGTATGGGACTTTGTATCTTTCCTTTCCTGTGGCTTTTAAACAATAGAATCTTCTACAATCACTCAGTAACTACCCTCTTACCCATCTTTACTTTTGACAGACTCTGGCATTGTATTATATTAATTACTGGTCTGTTTATTGTTAGTCTCAACCACTAGAATGTAATCTCTACAGCACAAGCTTTTGCACTGGCTTTTTTTCTTCTATGCCTGGTGTATAGAAGCTACTCAGTAATCAATAATATTGAATGAATACATGATTGAGTGTATAATATTTTCTATTTGCAATTTTAGAGGCAAGGTATAGTTTAATCTTCGCAGAGAAAAGAACTTTAAAATACTGTTTCTTCTATGTATCATGTAGGATATGAAGGGAGAAATCTATGTTTATTCATTCCTTTCATTAAAGTGAAGTCTAGACCCTGAAAATTGTGTTCTTAAGTGTCTTGATAGTCCAAGAATCAGGGATACACAGGCATTTTCCCTAGATGAGGTAAAATGAAGCTAGAGGAAAATGCAAACAAAAGACATGTCACAGGTTATGTTCTCTGGAAGCAGAGGTGACAGAGTTTGGTATATAAGATATTTATTAGAAACAGCCACCTGTGAAAGGGGGTAGAAACCAGAATCAGGCAGAGAAGTCTGGTTTGATACAGGCCAGACAAAAAGACTTAGCCAATCTTTCAAGGAGCTCTGGAGCAAGTGTTTGCCCACTTGGCTCAGGCCCTGGAGGCAAGCTCTGCTAGGAAGGGCATATTTCAACTCGAAGTGGCTCTTTGCAGGTGGGATAAACTCTGAGGGAGCTGACAGCAGGAGGCTGTCTGCTGGCCACGTTCCCTGCAGCTGGGCAACAAATCCTTCAGAGAGGTCCTGGTGACCCATCCTCTTTAATACCCCAAGATATCTGAAGCCTGTTACTTTGTGAAGGTTTATAAAGAGATACTCTCCACCCATTGATTAAACTTAACTGACTGCCTAGGGAGATCATGGCACAAGAGTAGTGTTTCTGAGCACTGAAAAAAGAGAAGTTTCTTCCTGATGGAAGTGATGAAATTGGCTTGGGAAGTAGATGCATTTCACAACATTATTTACTTGGAGATTTAAAAAATGTATTTAAGGCCATTCTTACTGTGTAATTTTCCCCTTTAATTTCTTTACTCCAGTTATGATTTTACCAAACATGAAACTTTTCAGGAAACAACTGCAATTATGATGCAATGTGTCATCTTCCGAAATGTCACCTGTAGGTTAATTATTTTAATTTTGAGATAGCATCTCTTAGAATGAATGGATGTTAGGCTGCAAAGGTAGCCTACAAAGTTCCGCTTTCTCGGCATCTCTAATTCCTGAACATCTTAAAATCTGGAATTTACAAAGTCACCCTTAGAGTGACAAGACAGAAGACACTAGTGCTGAATTGAAGTTAGTAGTTGTCGCAGTTAGGCGTATGGTACAATGTTCAGAGCTGTAGAGGGTGAAGCAAAGAAGGAGGCTGGTGGCAGTGTGTTAGCCAGGTGTGTTGGTCATTTCTCTCTTTGTGAAGTGTGTCAATTGGGAAGACTGCCTGCACATTTCTGGTAGCTATGCTCTATTATGAGTGGTCTCTGTAGCTCCCCTTTCCATTGTGAAACTCAACAGAATCAGAGCAACTCTGTTCTGGCAGCATAATGCAGATGTGTCATTCTCTCCCAGTGAAGAAAAGATGAGAGGGGGCCATGTGCTCTCTCAATTCTATTTTTAAATGCCCATCACTTTATTTCAAAACATTTTTTTCAAACATGCCATAGATACTATTCTTCCTTGAGATGCTAAATTTGAGGTTTTAGAAACCAAATCCTGAGCGGTACAGCATAAAACTAAGTATCTCAAAAGGTTTAAACACAATTGGTTTTTAATTACTTAGCAAAAACTCATTGTACCAAGATTGAGAGACTTTTTAGCTTAAAAAGCAGAAACTGAAAGGAAGTAACAATGTAAACATAGAATAAAAACATTTCAGTTTTAGAATGTCATCTAGGCAAGTCTGCAATATGGTAATCAAAGAAGGAAAAAGGGGGATCTGCTTGGGTTAGTACCTTAAATACTTTAAATTTTCTGCATTTTAAATATGATTTAGACCTTTCTTCTGGACAAAAATGTTCTTTTTGAGCCATAAAGTCTATAAAAACTGTTTCAAACATAGTTGGCTCCATAGCTTACCATTGGTTCTGACTCTTGCTTGAGGAAAGTACTCTTCCTTCTTCCCTGAAGTACTTGCCTGGTAGACCTCCAGTCGGTGTTCTGAGAGAAGTGCATGGTTGGCATTTCCCAGGAGAAATTATTTAAATGCCTCACATTTGAGTGTGACAGAACACATTATAACTGAGCAAATCCTTTTATTTCTCT